TGGAACTTAAAATATAACCAATAAATTTATCTTTTTTAAAGAAAAAAAGGTGAAAAAAAAGAAGAAAAGGTTGTTTAAAATTCTCTACCAGAGTGACTCAGCTGTTCTCAACAATACAATGACCTAAGATAAAGCCGAATGACGCATGATGAAAAATGCTATTCACCTTGGGGAAAAGAACTGATGGCGTCTGAATGCAGACCCAAGGATGCTTTTTAGATTTGCGTTGTTTTTTACAACATGGCTGCTGTGGAAATGTGCTCTGCACGACTGCTCTTATATAATCTGTACTGAAGTGCTTGCTTTGTGAAGGAGGAGGGATGGAAGTGGGAAGCAAAAAATTAGCTTAAAATGTTAAAAAAAAAAAAGTTTTTGCGTGTAATTGCGAAAATAAAAACTTTTTTTTTAAGGGAAAAATTTAATTCTATGCCAAATGCAAAGGACAGTCACCAGCAGGCCTACACTGCCGCAGGATGCCATTAAGTAGGCTTTTGTAAATTCCAACTCAGATTCTGAGAAGAATCAGTCCCCGTAGGGTGGGAGGCAGCCCTCAGCCTCTTCCCACAAAGCTTCCTAGCCTGCGTTTCTTCCCCTTATTGTTCTCTGGGATCAAGATTCACTGGGGTCAACAAACATCCAAAAGGCCAAAGACTTCACTTATTCTAATTGAAGGTTTCCCAGGCCACCAAAAACAACCTCCCACCCCCTTCAATCACTGTGTATTGAGAATCTCCCGGTTTGGTGATCTTGAAATTTAAGCCTAATTATACTTTAAATGTTTGCTTGCACCAATCAAAACAAACAAACAAACAAACAAAAAACAAAAAACAATTAGAGCAAATTTAGAGACCCTAAGGGCTTAGAAGTAAAAGTAAGAATGAAGTAATGATGAAAAGCAAAACTGCTATAGGGATTGGGATGCTCCCGGTTGGTATGATTTATAGGAAGTTCAGGAAAGCCTATCAATTTTTCTTTTCCCTAAAGGGCCTGAAAACTTAATTTTATCCCACTGCCTGAAATCATACCAATTGGATTCTACTGGATAAATAAGCAGGCTTCTGAAAAAAATGTAAATACCAGCTGTGCCCAAGAAATAGGCAGGATTTTTCACCTCATTCCCAGAGCTGACCCCCAGAACACATGCTGCTTTCTCTGCCTTATGTTGCTGTCTTAATCGCTAACTCACTTGATTGAGTTTCTACCAAACTTCACTAATTTTAGCTTAGTGTAGGGGAAAACTCCACAGTTTGGTGCAGTGGAAAAGGCACTGCTCGTGGAATCAGGGCCCAGGTTCAAATCCCACCTCAGACACTTATTCACCTTTGGCAAGTTACTTCATCTACAAAATGCGGTTGGATTAAGTGGGGGTCCCTTCCAGCTTTGGGGCCTCACATGATCCTGAATTCACAGCTTTCCCAAAGTAGAACGGGCTGCTTCACTTCACAGATTAAAAATTAAGGCACAGGAACGTTGTGATTTTACAAATTTCCAGAAGGTGCAGGTATCAGAAGAGTTCTGACTCCAGGACTACCCCACTGCCTTAGAACGTCAGACAAGGGCATTTAGACTAAAACCAAGTTTTGGGAGCTCACAGGATTGAGTAACTTTTTAGAGCTTAAATGCCTCAAGTGTCTACTACATACGTGGAGACATTTCAGTTACTAAACTGTGTCTAAGTACAGATTTCTGTATACAAACATCCCAACAAGAGCCACTGGAAATGCAGTATAGTATTGCATTATTTGCTCCATGTTTCATTCAGGCACCGTATTTTGGGTAATAGATAATATAGAATCAACAGAACAGTATGCAAATTGATTTGCCCCCCTACCCCCCAAAAAAATCCAAGGTAGTCCACTTAATTTTCATTCCTTGGACTACTTTACCCTGAGCACTCAAGCGCCAGAAGCCATGTTTGTTTTCACCTGGGACCTGATTTCATCTGGGAAGGAGGTCCCCAGGCCAATGCTGCACCCTTTCTTGCACCTTAGTCTTAGAAGGCTCCTGGGGGCAGTGAGATGGCCACTCACTGTGCTAGTACAAGTCAGGAGTGGGACTTGAACTCCCTGCTTCTGAAGCCTGCACCCTATCCACCTTAATCCTGTCTTGCTAAATCTCACTGTTCACTTAAGCCAAAGACTGGAATCTCACAAAATGCTTAAAATTTGAGGCAGAAATAGACGGTAAAGGAAAAAGCCTTAAGATTACAGTCTTCAAAGTGTGAAAGCTTTTTTTTTTTTTTCCAGGTGAGATTCAATTAAAGTGTCCATGAATGGGAAAGGCACACTACCACTATCTTTACGGAATGCTTTCCAAATACATTTCTAAATTATAATACTTAAGTCAGGCAAAACTGAATGCAAATTGGATTGCAAGTTTGTGATCACATGTAACTCAAGCTCTCAGGAAATTCTAAATTTAGCCAGTTTTTAAAGAAAACTTTCTAAAATATATTACGCACTTCCTTACTGTCTTAAGCAGACTACACGAGACATGATTTAGGCATTTCTGGATGATTAAGTCATCCTTATGGACATGAATTCTGCAAGGTTATAATATAATGGTTTCAAGAACTATTGTCTCCTAACTCCCCTGGCTTCCTTTAATTCCCAACTAAAACCCTATTTTCTACAGCAAGCATCCCCTAGCTCCCACTTCCAGTGCCTGCCCTCTGCTAATTATGTATTTGTCCTGTATATGGCTTGTTTGTATACGTTCAACTCCTTTAGACTGCGAATTCCTTGAGAGGACAGGCTGCTTCTGCCTCTTCTTATACCCCCAGGGCCTAGCACAGTGTGCATTTAGGGTTAGGGTTAGGGTTAGGGTTAGGGCTAGGGCTAGGGTTAGGGTTTAGGGTTAGGGTTAGGGTTATTTCGGTAGAGAATTTAAACCCCAACCTTAAATTCGCTGGCACCTAGGAACTGCTTAATAAACATTTATGGATTGATTGAGCCTGGAAGCTGCTTTGCATTTTGAAGTGGTTTCTCTTCTTAATGTGACCACTCTGCCTATCTCCAACTGCTTTCTAGACTCCCTTTCCCATTGCCTAATCCTAAAATGCTGTGTTTTTTAAAGATGGTTTATGTTCTTTACAACTATGCCTTAAATAACGGGGATCCCACAAAATGACCTCCATCTAAAATGCATCATCTCAGGCTGCCTGAACTTTGTGACATCAAGCTTAGCTTCTTGTTCATCTCCCCCCGGATGTTTTAGGTGGTTGGGGTTCTTGAGGATGTACGTGAGGTGTTATTGCTTTGGAGGAATTTGCCACTTTGAGGACCCACCTGTAAACCCCCAAATGCCGATCTCAACCTGAGTGAGGAAGAAGATGTATTCCCCCACCCCCCATGATTAGATCCTCTAAATCGAGCTATTCAGAGAGTACAAGGGATGTATTTTAAGGTGTTTACAGCGTCTGGATGCCATCAGAAAGGCTTTCCAGAAACCAGGATATCTACCACCCCCATGCCTTCGGGGCCGCAGAATGAAAAGACCACACCAGATGCTTTGAACACTTTATTAATTTAACATTTAACATCAATACATCCAAACTTGCTTAGTTGTTACATTTAATTTAAACATATAAAGTATTACAACAATTTTTCAATCACTGGAGTCCACAAGGATTTTATCAGTCCACTCATTCTTCTTACTTCTTTTCCCTCTTATATGGTAGCAATTTTTTCTGCCATTCTGGTTCTTTTCAACAAAGTCTTTCCAGAATTCTGCGTCTTCTTCGTACTTGTCCGTCTTCGCTTCAATACAGCAGTCCATTACATTAATTAGCTAAAACTTAAACCATTCCTTCTATTGTTAAACATTTAGGTTGACTCCAGGTTGTTTGTTGTTTGTTTTTTTTTCACAATTACTTATAATACCACGAACATTTTTTTTTAACATTTTTTTGGTAAAAAGTAATACTTTCAGTATGTGGCGAGGCTGACTTGTACATTTAAAAGTAAAAAAAGCTGTGTGAGATGAAGCTATTTTATTCAAACACTATTACTTCAAAGGAACACAGCAAATGCGAAAATGTCTTTGATTTATGAATGAGAAAATGTCCCTAGTTGTGCACCTCCTACACACTTTTCGAATTTAAAATTCCTTTCCTCGAAGGTGCCTTTTCCCCCGTGAACTATATACAGATGACAAGTGAGGGAAAAGTCACCTCACTTTATGTGCCTTTTTTCTAAAAGGGAAGAGAAAGGACTTCTCTGATTGTCCAGTCTCTGTTTAAGATTTCTGGCTAAGCTGCAGTTTTCACTTTTCCATGAGCCTGTAAAAGGCAGACAGAAAAAGTGACCTAAAAGTAACTACACAAAAATAACAAAAGGGCTCTGCTTACTCCTTATTATGAAAATCAAGACCGTTCTTTACAGTCCCACACTTGCAATTAGCAATGCTGAACTGAACAAGATGCGCAGCTCACTGTACCAGCATCTGTAACCCAGGCAAACCTCAACACTCAGGATCAGGTCTCTGACACATCTTCAGATTGACAACCAATGACGTTCAATCTTAACGTACATAGTAAGAATAGCCCGACACCACTGGAAAAGAAAAATCTGGTGATTTTTCACCTCACAATCTCACAAAATCGAAAAATTCAAAGACACATTTTATATTTAACAAATTTTCCAATATATTAATTTTTCCTTTTATAGGTTTTTACTAAGGTAACATTAAGTTTTGGCAAAACAGTTTAAACACACTTTTAAAAGACCATTATCACAAATTTTAAACCAGATGCTTGAGAGAGTAAGATTTCTGCACGATGGAATTACTTTCTAATTAAAGTGTTAAATTTTCACAATACTACCACTATTATTACATTGGTTTTCACAGTTACAGCAATGACTAAGCGGAGAGAGTAAAACACAGATTAGATTCACATTTTGTCACGAACGAAAACACGAAAGTCTGTTCTCTCTCCGCACGAATTAAACGGGCGTCTTGGGGGGGGGTCCCAAGAGCCAGCGCCATCTTGGCCAGCCCGCTCAGGCGAGGGAGCGGCACCGGGAGCGCACCAGGTCATCCAGGTGGGGCTCCAGGTTGGTGGTGGCGATGCGCAGCAGGGCGTGGAGGTGGTCCTCCGAGGTGAGCTGGTTCAGGCGGCTCTGATTCCTCAGGACGTAGGCGTACGCCCTGTCAGAGATGCAGCTGCTGTCGAAGAGGGAGGCGGCGCGGAAGGTGACCGCCTGCAGCTCGGTGTAGCAGCCCGGCGGCAGCCCGGCGTAGAAGGCGCCCAGGTTCTCGCCCTGGTACTCGGACAGCAGCGTGGCGCTGGACTTCATGCGGATCAGCTCCTCCTGGATGTGCAGGGGCGCCCTCTCCACGGGGAAGCTGAAGGGGTCCGCGAACATGTCCAGGTCGCGCTTCACCGCGCACAGGTCCTCGAACTGCTTCTGGAGCTTGGCGTGCAGGCGGGCCAGCCCCTCCTGGTAGCGGTGAGAGGCCAGCACTTCGCGGACGGTCTGGCCCTGGTGGTCCAGCTCGCGGCTGAGCTCCCGGCTGGCGGGGAAGAGGGTGAGGTCACCGGAGCTCAGGTGGGCTCGCAGCAGCTGCAGCTTGTCCCCGAAGGCGCAGACGTGGTCCATGACGCTGAAGGCGAAGGTGCCGGGCATCCGCAGCTCGTCGGCCAGCTCGGCCAGGTGCGCCTGCATGTCCACCAGGAAGCTCATGTCGCACAGCCAGTCCGGGTCCTGCAGGGGGTCGCGCAGCGCCGCATTGGGGGGCACGCCCGTCTCGGCCAGGAAGGCCTCGAGCTCGCGCCGCAGAGAAAAGACGCGCTTGAGAGCCTTGCCCTTGCGCAGCCAGCTGCCCAGGCACAGCAGGGAGACCTCGCCGCCGTGGTGCATCTCCGCCTCCTCCATCAGCATCTTGAGGCCGAGGGAGCGTACCCCGCGGGTGCGGAGGAGAGCCAGCCAGCCGGCCACGGCATCCACGACCCCGCCCACATCGAGCTCGCGCGAGCCCAACAGCTCTAAGTGCAGCAATCCTGCGCAATGCGCCAGTGGCGAGCCCCCGCCCACGCCCTCGCGAGCTTCGGCCGCGCGAGCCTGCAGCAGCCGCACTAAGCCGCATTCCTCCGAGGCGATCCACGCAGTGCCCGTGGACGCCACGCCCACGAGTTTGTCCCATGTCAGCCCCACCCGAGCCACAGCCTCGCCGATGTGGCGCATTACGTGCCCCACGGACGGCTGGCCAGCCAGGTTTACCACGGTCAGCAGCTCCTCGTCCACCTCGTAGTCGTGGTCCACCCCGCGCAGGAACACCATCAGCCGGCCTTCGGTGCCCACGAAGGCTTGGTCATCGAGGGCGAGGGAATAGGCCTGGAAATTGGTGGCTCGCATCACCAGCTGTCCGTGCAGGTTGCGAGCCAGACCGATGGTCTTCTGCGCCATACTCTCAGGAGACAGGTCGATCTCGTCTAGCAGGCGGCAGTGCTCAGGCAGTGTCTCCCGCAGCACGGCTTCCAGACAGCGGCGAACTAAGCAGCCTTCGCCCCATGGACGTCCGTGCAGAGCCAACAGGTGTGCGACTCCGAGGCTAGCGCGAGCCGCTCTCTCTTCTCGAGTTAGTACAGCACCAGCAGCAGCAGCAGCAGCAGCAGCAGCCATGGTCTCTCCACGCTGCAGTCTGTCTACCAATGCGGCGCGCTCCCCACCAGCAGGATACATTTCGTAGTGCTCGTGCTCGGCTTCGTAATGACGCCTCACATCACGCTCACGGGTAGCGACGATGGGGCGGCGGCAAACCAAACACTCAGCCCCTTCGCCGTCCTCCCTCTCCACCACCAAGTAGCGCTGCGTCCACTCAGACCTGAATACGTGCTGCTCCTCAGGTTCAGCTTTTCTTCTTTTGGGCGTCGCCCACATCTTAGAGAATGCCATCGTTAGCGAATGCGTGGGAACGTGAGGGGAGGGCACAAACACAGAGAAAACGCTAGGAGATGCTAAGTCTCCTAGTCAGACGCTAGCGTCGCATTGAAGGGATCGCGCAGACGCAGGGTAAAGACACTCCCGTGAAGACCCGCCACCCCGCTCTGATTGGCCGAGCTGGCGTGGTGTTTTTTTCACTTTAGAAAAAGGGGACGGGCCAATAGAGTTGCGCTAGCGGGAGCGCGCGCTCAGCAGCTCGGCCAATGGGAAGAGGGTCGAGGCGGTCCCATGATCTTCTCCGCATTTGGGGGCGATCACGATAGGCATCTGAGAGGTCCAATCGTCTCCCTGTTTCCACAGCCGCAGAGGAAAGTCCCTTCAGACCTAGAGTGGAGGATGAGGAAAATCGGGGAGGTGGGACGTGAGCAAAGCGGGGGAGGCGATTGGCTGTGAGAGCCGTTTGTTCTTACTGATCTGCCTGGCACCCCAAACTAGGCAGAGGGGATTGGCTGAAAGGGGCAATCATTTGCATGGGGCGGTGGGGAGGAGCAGCGAAGCTAAAGCGATTGGCTGAGAGAATTCCACTTGCATAGATCTGCCTGGTTTCCAAAAGGAGACTTCAAGGATTGGTTGGGAGGGGCCTTTTTTGGCTTGGATCAGCCTAGTACCCGACGCTGGGATGGTGGTGATTGGCTGAGAGGGGAGTTCATTTGCATGAGTCTGCCTAGCTCCCAAACCCTGACTGCGGTAATTGCACGAGAGGGGCGTTGTTAAGTGTCTCGGTGATAGGCAGGTTTTGGCCGCTGTCGTCATGTCTCTGGTGGCGGGTGTGATTAGGCGTCTAGATGAGAAGGTCGTGAACCGCATAGCTGCGGGGGAGGTCATCCAGCGCCCTGCGAACGCCATTAAGGAGATGATTGAGAATTGGTAAATGAGGGGCTGACCGGGTTCGAGCCTCACCACGGGGGGGGGGAGGGGAGAAGGGGAGGAAAGAAACTTGGCACTTTGGGACTCCAATGCGCAGGCGCATTGGAGCTCCTGCGAAAACTTTGGCGCTTGGAGTTTACTTGCACGTGGTCCCTGCGGGCGCCGAGCCGTGGCTTGGGCCGAGGCCTCGGGGAAGAGTAACAGTACTCCCCATACGATCCTTACACCCCCCACACACCCCCCTCCCCGAAAAAGCAGGGAATGTGCAAATCAGTGGATCTCTAAGCGTTTATAAAGCATTGACCCCCGTGTGCCAGGGAGACCTGCGCGGAAGATGGGGGCAGTGCCTCAAGTTTCCCCCCTTAGAAGCTGGCCACATCTATGACCAGGAGAGAGGGCCTGCGCGTGGGGTTGCCTGGCACTAACTGCCCATTACGTGGGGCCACTGCGAGGTGTCGCCCAGGAATCCCCCCTAGAGTGCCCTGCAGGTGTTTGGAGCAGCTTTGTACACAACCCCCCCTCCCCCCCCAGCGCCTGCCTGTGCTGCTGGGGGGAAGGGGTGTGTTAGAGCAAACTAGGTTTCGGGAACCCCCTCAGAGCCCTAGTAAATAAAACCAGTGCCCTGCAGAGACCCAGGACAACCAGCCCGAGTCAGTTTCCTCGGGGTAACTGACACTCTGGGCCGCCCTTGCTGGAGGTCGTGCTTCCAGCAGTGTCTCCTCCTGGCTTGCCACCCAGGTTTGTAGCTCTGCGGCTAACTTGTGCTTCCAAAGGGGAAAGGGCACCGCAAATCCTGACCCACTGTAGAAAAGCCCACGGTGCATCCCGCAAAGTAGCAGACTTCTGGGCCCCTTGGTGAGGATTTCTTCAGGTTATCTTTTTTTTTATTTTAAGCTTTTATTTAGTATTTTATTTTTCCCCAGTTACATGTGAAAACCATTTATAACGTTTGTTTTTAAAACAGAGTTACAGATTCTCTCTCTTCCTTCCTCCTCACACCATCCCCCCATTGAGAAGGCAAACAATTAGATATAGCTTATACACGTGTAGTCATGTAAAACATATCCATAATAGTCATGTTCTGAAAGAAAACATAAACAAGGAAAAAAACCTCAAGAAATGGGTTATCTTTCTTTCCACTGTCTTTATCTGCTCCCTGCTCTCCTCCTCTGTTACTATTGCCTGGCAAGATTTTTTTTTTCAATTCAACATTTTTTTTTTTAGGCTTTTGGATTTTAAATTTTTCTCCCCCTTCCTCCCCACCACCCTCCCCAAGACAGTGCACAATCTGATATACATATACATTCCTATTAAACATATTTGCACATTTAGTGATGTTGTAGATAAGAATTAGAACCAGTAAGAGAAACCACCAGAAAGAGGAAACAAAACACAACAGAAGAAAAAAATAGCAAATAGTCTGCTTCCATCTGCATTCAAACTCCATAGTTCTTTCTTTGTGTGTGGATAGCATTTTCCATCATGACTGGCCAGATTTTTTAAGAAGAATGCTTACTGAAAAAATGTGTGCATGCACATATGTACATATAGATATCTTTATTAGAGCACTTTGGTTTCTGACATGGTGGTTGAGGAGTCAATAGAGTTTCTTATGAGGAATAGCCAAAAAATCATGAGGAAAGGAAAAAGGCTGTGAGGAAATCCCTAGTACCTAGTTCAGGACCTAATTCAGGCCTTGTCGTGAAGCACATGTATGTTGCTTTTGGTACCGGTTAGAAGAAAGTGCTCATGTTTTGTGACATGAAAGTCTGATTACCAAACTTGGAGGAGAAAATCTACTGTTCATGTTTTATAAACTATAACTAAATGCATCAGCATAGATAATGAACTTTGTTTTTTTTTATTACCTGACTCAGATGTCTTTATACTAATTAGAGTTCACCTTCTCTCCTTGCCAGCTTGGATGCCAAAGCCACAAGTATCCAGGTGACCGTGAAAGAGGGAGGCCTCAAACTGATTCAGATCCAAGACAATGGTACCGGAATTCGGGTAAGTAAAATTCCCCGAGATAACAATGTTTGACTAGAGCCAAAGCAAAGAGATTGAAGAAAAGATTCACATCTTTTTGTTCTGGAAAGTGGGCTATTGTCAGTGAAACACTTACACCTGAGAATGGGTCCATTTTAAAACTGCACAAACCAAGAATTTACTTTGGGATGAAGTCTTTTAAAAGTGTAACCCAGCATCTTTAGAAATGATGATTAACAGGGCAGCTAGGTGGTGCAGGGTATAGAGCACCGGCCCTGAAGTCAGGAGGACCTGAGTTCAAATTCCGCCTCAGACCAAACACTTGACACTAACTAGCTACGTGACCCTGGGCAAGTCACTTAACCCCAATTGCCTTAAAAAAAAAATGATGATTAACATGGTTCGTTCACCATCCTCTGTCTGCGCCTCACTCCCCACTCCTTTTTTTTAATCATTTAGAAAGAAGATCTGGACATTGTGTGTGAGCGGTTCACTACAAGTAAGCTGCAGTCATTCGAAGACCTGGCTTGCATTTCTACCTATGGCTTTCGGGGGGAGGTGAGTTGAAAAGTAGGAGAACTTGGGAATTCTTTTGCTGCCATGATTATTCCATGTGGAGATCATTCTCTCTTTAATATTTTTCCAAAGACCCTTGGAAGAAAAAGAAAACCATTCTCTATTATTAGGTGAATATACACAGAGCACCTTTGAAATCTTGAGTCATTCAGGATGGAGGATTTGTGTAGATTCATGGAATGTCGCCATGTTTGTTGTGAGCACAGAATACCCTGGGTATCTGATCGAATGGGAGAGTCAGTGGGTCTGCTCCTGTTCTCTCCAGGCTGTGTCAGGGAGGAAGTAAAGTTTTGGTCTGAGTAGCTGCTCCTGGGTCCCGGCCCCATAGCCTCCCTCGGAGCTGGGACAGAGGGAGGAAGAAGTGGGGAGGTCAGAGAGGACTCAAGGCCAGGAGACTGAGGAGTGCTTTTGTTAAGCCTCAGTTTCCCCCTCTACAGGATGTTGGGGTTGAATGAAATGTTCAGAGGCCCCTTCTCATTCTTATGTTGGCTACTTAGCCATCTCTCTTTACAGCCATCACCTTGGCTTTAGACATGTTACTGGTCAGAATCTGTTTATGGCCTTGAGCTTCATTGTAGGCCCCTCTGGAACAGGCCAAACACCTTTACTCCATTCGTGGGTTTAAAAACAAATTCTTCTTATTATGAACTTAATAAGCATCAAGATTTCTATGTATGTATGTCAGACCATGAGCCATCATTTTGGACAGCTTGTCCTTTTAAATATATATTTAATTGAACCTTACAGTACTGACCTTGCCCTGATTGGATGTCCCCTGCTAGATTTCCTTTGGTTGTCTTCTGTGCATTTTTCTGTTGCCTTGATGATCTTTTCTGTCACACTCTCACCATTCCTTCTAACAACCTTCCCTCCCTCCTTTGCAGCATATAAATATAACCAAGCAAAATAAATTCACGCATTGTCTGTGTCTGCACCTGTATCTGCCATTCTGTAGCTAGAGTCCATCTACCGCTTGGTGTGGGCGGGGAAGCACCCATCGGCCATCTGAAGGCCCGACTGGCCATTGATATTCCCTAGACGCTATTGTGGTCATTGTGTACTTCATTTTCTTGGTTCTGCCCTTTTCGGTCTACGTCACTTCATACGAGTCCTCCCAGTTGTCTCTGCAACTGTCCCTTTTGTCATTCCTGAGTGTGCAATGACGTTCCTTAATTTTTGCCATTTGTTCAGCCGTTCCCTGATAGATGGGGACCCCATTTGTTTGCAGTTGTTTGCTGTAACAAAGAGAGTACCTCCGGTATTTTTGTACCTGTTGCTTCATTCCCTTTTGTTATTTTAAAAAAATCTCTTTGGGATATAGGCCTTGGAGTGATATTAGTGAGTCAAGAGGTCTGCATATGTGAGGGACTTTGATTCCAGCCATTTCTGCTAGTGTGAACATGGAGTACTGTAAATGGGGGGAGTCATGGCGATTAGGCCTCGCCTTTTAAAATCTCGGCTCCTGAAATGTGATGTGGACAGACACATATGGAAAGACATGTTTTGTGATAAAAGCAGAA